TGGAATTAGGAGACAAGGGAGGATTTTTCAGTTTATCTTTGATTCTTTGCTAAAGAAATGTGGTATCTGAGTTGCCTTGCAATTACGTTGGGCACATGAAGCCAGCTTTCCACTCCTGTTTAATTCTTGTGTGTGCCCAGTGTTAAGTGTAGTAACTGAGAGACTTACATGATAGAGACCATGCTATCAAGTAGAAAAAACACCCCAGTTAATATCTAGCATTTTGCCTGGAATGTGTAGCAGCCCAGGGCTGAGATGAAATTCCTGGGTTTGAGTGTTGTTTAGTGGATGTCAGCAGTACTGAAAGTAGATTTGACTAAAGTTTCCTCCCCAGATTGGATACCAAAGACTCTGGATGAATTTTTCATTGTAGCATCACTTTGAAGAGTTGTTATTTTAGATTATTAGCTTTGATGCAGATGTTGTGTGTTCCCATGACAATTACCATTTCAGTTCCTTCCTGGGGGAATGAGAGGGCTGCCCATGAGTGCTGAAATCCTGTGTAGGGAGGCATGTCCCTGGGGAGGGGGCCGGATGTGTGTGCACACCTGTCCAGGGCTCCTCTCACACACACACTTCTGCAGCTCAGGCTGCGCTTTCGAGAATTCAAAGCAAACATTTACATTCCGAGGCTCCTCTATATTTATGCTGGGCTTCCGGCTCCTCTGTCAATATTTGGGAAGCTACTCCTGGTCAGTTCCTGTTGACTTTTACTGAAAAGCAGCTAGTGAAGCAATAAATATTTTTGTGCATGTGATAATACAGCTGGTCAGGGCAGAGAGATCTCTGAGGAGCAGATCTTGTGATCTGGGACACAGCCTAGTGATTCATTGCTTGTATAGGGAGTAGCCACAGCCTCTGGTTAACAGCAGGTCCTAAAAGACTACCCTTTCCCTGGCAACTGGGAGAACACTGCTTGTTCCACTATCAGGCTCCCAGAAAGCCAGACTTTTGCCAGGGAAGAGCTGTCAGGGGTGTGTTAGGCAAACTACAGCTAGGAAGTCAGAGCTGCAGAAGAGCAAGGCTAGACAAGGAACCCTATGAACAGTCCCAGCCCTGCTGCTGTGGTGGGAGAAGCGTTCCCAGCACTAATGACCTGGTAGGACCTGTGCCTCTGCCTGAAGGGGTTGGATGCTGCCAGACGGGGATGTAATGGCTGCTTGTGGGGGAGAACTGAATCAGCCCCAGTTCCAACACAAACCCCACAGAAATGGCAGTAGCAGCTCTCCCAAAAACTTCAGGCACTGCAAGGTTGTAACCAGGAGCCTGTGGTGAACTGCAGGGAGCCACGCTGTGCAAACAGAGCTAAGAATGAGTGCTGAGTCCTGAAACACTGTAAATGAGGCTCTGTTGTCCTTGTGCTTGTATCTGGGCTGGTGACCCAGAGGAGTGTTCTGATGGATGTTGCTTTGTTGCCCTCTGCCCTGCCCTGCAGCGAGAACCCTTTGCCGACTGTGGAGATCGCGATTCGCAACACGGGGGACGCTGACCAGTGGTGCCCTCTCCTGGAAACCCTCACAGATGCCGAGATGGAGAAGAAGATCAGAGACCAGGACAGAAACACAAGGTGCTGCCACTACTTCAGACAGTTCTCTTGGCCTGCCCCTAGGAGAGAAGTTAAAAGCTTTGATGTTTGTCTTTCTCTACTGAGAGCCAACTGGCAGAATGTCAGACCTGCACACTACAACAGAAACTCATATCCCTTTAGCTTCAGGGCATTTAAATTGTTATCACCTTGCTCCACAAACACCAAAAGCTCTACTTTAACCATCTCCTGCTTGAAGCAAAGTTTCCTTTCTTTTTTTTTTTTTTCTTTTCCCTGGGCTCTCTGTTTGCCCAAGGGGGTTTGTTTCTATAGGAAGGCATTAACCAAAAGTATTGGAGTTTCATGCACTCTAATGCTACCTAGAATCCTGCCACAAGGCTGCCTTTTATGTAGGGCAAAGTGCTGTGTGATGTAGGAATGGGCAAGCTCCCAGCTCCAGCCTGACTGATGCCAACCTGTTTGCCAGCACGGGAGCTCTGCCCCCCAGAGACCTGCTAAGCCATGTTTGACAAGCAGTTCAGAGCACTTGCTCCTACCTGGTGAAATTGCTCCCAGCAGATACAATGAATGGCTAGCATCTCTCCAAAAGATACGTTGTGGAAATGGTAAATATACTGCCTCAGCTCTTTCCCAGGACTTTTTTTACTGCTGATTAACAGTAGCATAGTCATTTTGCTTATCAGCTGTGGCTGACTGAATAGTTTACAGTAGCAAGTGGTTCAGTCCAAGTTAATGAGCAAAAGTGCTCTAAAAGGTGTTACTGAAAGTAGTCTTAGCCTTATCAACAGGGGCAGTCTCAGGTGAATGAGGAGTTCTGTCTGGGCAGTAAACCTGTCTGGAGTGCACAAAGCTGCGACAACCTCCCGAGAAATGTTGGGTGTGGTCAGACCTCCCGTGGCTGTAACACAGCACTAACTGTACCTCTCTCTCTCTCTCCCATAGGCGCATGAGACGTTTGGCCAATACTGCTCCAGCCTGGTAACCTCCCTGTTGTGACACTGGTGCTCTTCCTACAGACTTTATCCCTATTCCCTCTCCCAAATGGATCTAGGATTGGCAGGGGTCTCTCTGTCCCTGAAGGGGACACACATTCCACTTGCCAAGAGTTCCCAGTACTGCTGACTTCTGCCCCCACCCCTCCACCCAAATGCCACATACCAAGAACGCTGCGTTAGCAGCGTGAGCGAGCTCAGACCTGTGGCAGGTGCTGGAGCCCTTATATACCTGTGTGTGGACAGTGTAAAGATTCTTTTGTATAGGTGCAACATGCACTATTAGGACAACTTTTTAAATAAAAGGAATGCATATTACTTAGGTTGAGTTCAGTAAATTTGAATGAACAGTGAATCTCCCCATGTTTTGTGCTATTCAGGTAACTGAGCAGCCCCAGGGCCTAATATTAATGCTTTTGGGTATAATGCTCAACCCTGACTTGCATTCAGTTTTCCTGAGTGCTTTATTTAACAGGTAAAACAGCCCAAGACCTTTTGCTGCAGGAGAAAGCAAGAATGAGACTTAAAACTAGAAGCACCAAACAACTTTCTAAAGGATTGGCCTGCTACCACACTTGGCACAGTCTGTAATGAACTCAGGGAGGTGTTCAGCTGGTTTACTTGACAAGGTAGAACAGTTTAACTGAAATCACAGACTTTAACAGTCCTTTCTGTCACCTGGTGTGGGGTGAACCCTGTTTTCTGTAGAGATTGCATCTGAAAAACATCAAAGTCACTGAGACTGCAGCTTCTCTTCAGCCAGAGGCTTTGCTGTGGTCACTGTCAGCACATGTTGCTGCCAGTTGCAGCACACAGAGCACCCGGAGCAAAGTGGGTGTCTTGAACACCCTTAGCACTGCAGTGTCAGGATTTACCTAGAAACAACCTGTCTTTCCCTGGGGAGTTTAAAAACAAGATCCATTGAAGTGAGATTAAAAAAATAATCCAAGTTTGCTTAAAAACTAATTGGAATCTAGCTATTGAGATATGCCTGCTCTTTGATGGAGTTCCTATCATTCACTGCCAGAACTGATGAGTGTTGCAAGCAGGGCAGATTTTGCTGGCAGCCTGACAGTTATGCTCAGGCCTTTATGATAAAGCCATAGGTTTTATGATCCTTGCTGATCCACCCACACTGCTAGCACAGTCAAAAAACACTTTTTGGCCTTAATTTATCATGTTTAGACTTGAGTAATAACAGAGCCAGTTCTGATTCCTGGGTGGGAGGCAACTTTTTCCAGATGTTCATCTGCAGAAACCAAAAACTTGCAATTTAGGAATAATATTATTCAGTCTTATCCTAGGCTCCCATGCCAGAGTGGTACTCTATTCATTACTCCTTATTCGAGAGGTTGAAAGGTTATTTAAGCAAGTAAGACAAAACCTGGGACTCCTGGTGCATCTCAGCCTCCCTCATGGCACACATGTTGTCTCATGGACATAAAAACTTGAAGTCTGCCTGAGAACAGTTCAGGCTCCCTTTGTTATATGACCAAGGACTTCTGCCAGCAGCCTCTTTAGGGCATTTGACTAAAGCAAGTGTAAAACTGCTATAGCCTTAAACTAGGATCTGTGATGCAGTTTTTTTGATTGCTGTGAAGCTTGTGGTTACCTAATCCTAAAGTTCACAACAAGGTATGGGCACACAACAACTTCAGCATGTCCCTATGCTTCTCCAGTCCCTGAGAGGCTGTAGGAATTGTCCCTCCAAGCAACCAGGGGCAAGGCAGGACAGTCCAGGGGACCAACTCCCAGAAAGATGGGAACTTCAGCCAGCTTTCTCCATCTATTGTTAGGACCATTGGGGAACAGCCAGGAGCAGCTTTTTTTGCTCTACAGTCACAACTCCTTAGGTTAATCTGGTACCCTAGCTAAAAGCATAGCCCAGCTTTTGCATTTCTGCAGACTTCAAAGACAGACTTTCCAGGGACTGAGGCACCAGCTCTGTGTCATTAGGTTGTGAGCAAGGTACACAGCAAGTACCTGTTGAGTCTGACACTGCTTAGCCCTTAGCACCACTGTGTCTTCTAGAACAAACGACCACCTGTACAGGTCTTTCAGCCTCTTCTGAGAAGAAAACACAAGTGCAGCAGAAAAGCTTGTTCAAATGACATTTTTGATATGAAATAGTGTTTTCACAGGAAGGTGACAGAGGAGGAGAGTGTGGGAGGTGTGGTTCAATATTCCACAAGGTTCCCACATAATTCTTAATTGGATGATGGATACTCACACTTCTCTTCATAGTTTGGTGGTGGTTGGCAAGTTTGTCTGAGAAGAAGCAACGTTATCAAGATACATTTGCAGATTTACTCCAAAGGCTTTGAGGTCTGGTACAAGCACAGTGTGCACTGCATGGTCAAATCCATTTAGCACAGCTGTCAGGGTAGGGACTAGTTTGTTTAGTTTTCCCCTGAAACTCAGATGTTTAAGTCTCAGAACTAAAAAATTCAACAAGAGTGGAATTACACTGCAGGTGCAGAGAGTCTTTATTACCAGTGTCAAGTGCTGCTTCCAGTCACTGCCTGGGTGAAGTGTCCAGCTCAGTCCCCTGTCCTTTCCCAGGCACCCCTTTCTCCCATTAGACACCCCTCACACCCCTTGTCATCCTCTGCAGCCCAGCTGACAGCAGAGGGGAAGGACATCTCCCAGCTAGACTGAACCTGGCATTGCCCACCAGAAAAGAAAAGCCCAAGCAACCTGGCAGTTTTGAGCAAATTCCTGATGGATTGCTGCCTCTGCCCCCAGCAGAAATGGACACACAACTGAAAAATAAAGACTTTAATGTAAAGACTCTTTGGAAACAACCACCAAAAAGGAGTGGGGTAAAGGAAAGGAAGAGGCTGAGCTGCATTCTACCATGGTACAGTACTACTTCATTGAAAGCCCACAAAGAGGTCTCACAACAGTGAGGGCCAGGTGCATTAGTCTTTGTACAGAGGGCAAGAGTGACCTGGCACACAGCAAGTCATTAACAGAAAGAGAAGGAGTAACTGGTTTAACACCCCATTTGATACTTATTCCCCACTGAGTAACTGAGGAGCTGTCACAGCTTCAGTCCCTGTCCCTAGAACACCTCTTAGTATTCATCAGTTCTCACGTGCAAAGCTCTGTGGATCCGCTCGGTACAAGGGGAGGATGGGTTACCCAGACAGACAGTGACACGTTACACGTCGGAATGGCAACTGGTGTTATTCCAGTGGGATTTCTGGGCCACAGCGTCAGTCCAGCCGGAAGAGAGGAATCTGGCCACATGAAGAAGTCCCCTGTGTTACTGTGGATGCTGCTCGTTCTGGTCTTGGCCTCTGGGTTGGTGGTCTGGACGATCCTCAGGCAGAGGGTTATAGTTGGGATCCTCTTCAGGTGTGTCAAATACCATCTTCCTGGCAAGGGACATGCCCATCCCACCAAGCAGGCAGGTTAGGAAAGTGGGCTGAGGATGATACACCCCCAGCCCTTCTAGGAACACCCTGGCCCTCCAGGTGGTTTGGCTGCGAGCCACAGCCACCAGCCTATTGTGCCACCACCAAACTGTTCTTTTGCTCAGCTCAATACACAACGATGACAGTACCTCTCCTTCCTTGATCTCTAGGTCAGATTTGATCCTCAGTACACGAAGCAGAACATATTCTGCTTTCCTAAACTACAAAAATACATCAGAAAAAAATCCTTCCTGCATCTAGCATTTCCACAAGCAGTAAGAACAGTTCTACTAGCAAAGCTGAAGGTATCAGCAACTGCTGTATGGGTCCTGTGTACACATGTACATAATGTGCAAATAATGCAGCAGAGGCATGAACTGTGGAGCTGAGGTGCTGTCAGCATGCAGTTGTGTCCTGTGGTCACCCCATGTGGTCACAGACCACAGTTTGCTATGGAAGTGACCCAGGTTGGGAAGCAACACAGCAAAGCCCAGAAATAATCAGCTTTACTTACAGAAAGCCAGGGGTTAACAGCAACTTCTTTCCTCCAGGCTGGTTGGGGAAAACATCTTCCAAGAAATAATAGATGTGACCCACTGCAATCCCTGGGGAGAGAAGCCACCAAGGTCAGGCACAGCTGTGACTCCTGTGCCAGCTGAACCAGAGCTGCTGGGAGCTTAAGCAGGATAAAGCTCTGGGAATCCCTCAGCTGTGTACCCAGGCCCAGCTCCCACCAGAGCCATGGTGCTGCAGTTTGCTGTGATCAGCACAGAAGCAGGCAGGGAGCCCATCAGCCTGAAGGCAGCACCAGACGCCCAGGAGACCAGACACAGCAGGAGCGTCAGGCAGAGCTCACCCAACTTCTGCCTCTGGGGAAGACACGCGAAAAAGCAGGTCACAAGCAAGAGCCACCCAGCAACCCTAGTGAGCTCACTTTAGGAAACCCAGAGAAGGTACCAGAGCCCCAGTAGCACCTATGAGAACAGAGAACTCTGGCTGCAAAGTGCCCTTGTTCCCAGCACACACCAGCTTTGACTTACCCAGCAAGTCAATGATGATGGAGTTGCCCAGGAGCAGAGAGAATCCCATCAGGACCCAGGGCAAGAAGGGGGCCTGGAAGTTAAGAAGCCCAAAGAAGTTCATGCGGATATAAGGGTTCCTGCGACTCCACACATACACCAGCATGATGGTGAAAGCCTGGCCCAGGAAAAACAGGCTGGCAAAGAGTCCAAATAGCTGGGAACTACAGAGTCAAGGAAAAACCTACCTGCCCTGTGCACCACCTCCAGGAAGCACAGGGTGCCTTGTGACTAGGAAACCCAAACTGATGCAGCTGATCAATGCCCATGCCACCAAACCTTTCCTGGGCTGCCTGAGATGTACTGACCACCACCCTCCCTGCACATATGTCTCTCCCTGCCACTCTGGAATAGTATGTACAGATTGCTCACTCCTTAAACTGATGTCTACAAGCACTGGAGACCAGGGAGCTCATGTAGTCACCTTTACAAAGGGAACATCAAAATGGCCTTCAAAGAAGGGTCTTCGCAGCCTTACAGCACTTGAGACAGTGGCACATATTAACAACTAGCTTGCAGCCAATATCTGCCTTCTACAGAAGAATTTCAGCAGTGAGATGGTTCTTGCAATTCACAGTCCTCTTCTCCAGAACACAAGGAGACAGACAGAGGCAAAAAATTCCCCTGCCCTTGTTGTAGTTGGACTCCAAATTCACCTATGGCCAAGCACGTGGGCGCTGCAGGCACTGGAGACTGACTGGCCAAACGCCCAAGGGTGGCCGAGAGCCATGAGAGCTCACACAGCTTCACACAGAGCTCCGTGAGTAGAGCACTGCTCTGAGCCATCTGCATAAGACAGCAGAAGACATTCAGGAAAGGTTTATGCTTGGGAGGGAGATATTTCTCCCCAGCAGACTACTTTGTCATGAAAAGAACTTCTTAAGATGCGTGATGTCTCCAGCCACTGACAGGTTGCAAGGACAGAGTGCTGGGCTCACACTGCCTGATGTGCTGACAATGGTATGGGGACACCCCACTCCTTGTCCTCATGGCCCTGTGTTCTTGCCTTCAGCTGCACTCACTTTCCTGAGCAGACCTCATGCAATTGTAGCTGTGCTCCACTCACCAGAGCTCAGACAGTGGCCCTGTCACAGCTGGACAAGTTCTCAGAGCATAAGGTGGCCTCCTTTCAGGCTGAGCTTCCCCAGCACACTGCCACATGTCCTCTTTGGGGATGAGGCAGCCCAGCCCCTTGCCAGGTGCACCAGCACTTCTGCAAGCACCAACACAATCACGGGCAGCTTTCCCTGTATTTTGCTTCTGCTCTCAGCACACTGGGTGAGGCACAGGCCAAGACAAGGGTGGGCAAGACGAGGAGCACAAGCTGTGCCATACGGCAAGATGCTGCACCTCCACCACATACTCAGCTCTCCCACACCACAGGGCATGAGCCTGGCAGGCCTGGGGCACAACAGGGCCCTCTGCCCCATGGCACCAAGAAGGTTCACAAACCAGCTGTGCTGCTCAGCAGGCAGGTACCTGCTCCACACAACACAACCAGGATGTAGAGAGGTAGCAGACAAGCCCTACGCTACCAACAGCATCTCAGAAGACACCAAAGAGCCTCAACCAACTCCAAAGGATACTGTCATGAGAAACCCTCCGAAGAGGAACATGAAGACAAAGTCAGCCGTCCTTCCACGGAAGGAGCCTTCTTCGAGCATGCGGCAGTACCTGTACCTGGGAGCAGGAGAGAAGGGAGGGGTTGCAGTATAGGAAATTAACAGCTGGCCACCCTGTGTCCCCACAGTGTGACTTTTGGGGGAATAAGCCACTGCAAGCTATTTCATCCCAGGAAGCTGTCAGCCAGGTGTCCCAGCCCCCAAGCAGAACAGTGCAAGCTTCACCCCATACCACTGACTCCAGGGAAAGAAAGAAGCACCTGCTGTTCTCCAGCCAGAGCTTGCCCCAAGAACAGGCACTGCTCTCCAGCACGAGCCACAGCAGCACTGCCAGCTCCCTCAGCCTTTTGGCAAGGGCTGCCCCACAGCAAGCAGAAATAGAGGGGCAGGAGGGGGGCACAGTTGTCAGGGGAATGGCTTCAATTCAGACCAAAAGAGCCAAGGGAAGAACCCACAGCCTCAGACTGCTGCCAAGGCAAGTCAGCCTGGGGAGGAAGATGGATGGGGGGGAATTGCATCTAAGCCAAAATGGGAGCAGAGAGCTTCACTGAGACCAAAGGATACAGAAATATCATGTTGAAAAAGAAACTGAATCCCAGGGGCCCAAAAAAGAGGAAGTTGGTGATCAGCCTCCATATCTGAAAAAGAGAGAGGAGAGAGAAAAGGAGGTGGACAGAGAGGTCTCTCCCCATCACACACAGAGCAGCCCATTACTCTATCCAGGGGGGATGCCCAGTCATGCACCTGTCCACTCACAACTACCCCAGGACACCAGACAGCTCCACCCCACCCTCGTGCAGGACCTCCCTTCACTGCCCACATCAGAGGGTCTCCCCTTCTCAGGTGTGGGAAAGAAGATTTCTCTGCTTTTCTGGAAAGGATGAACAACTACAATTAAGCACCCAGGGCCAAAGTAAATCACTGTTCAAGCCCCTCTACAATAAAGCCTTCCCTACCCAGCCCGACATCAGCTCCCACTCATCTCAGTGTCACAGAGAAGGGGGAGATGGGCTTTGAGTAAAGGAAAAAAGGAAATGTCAAGATGATGTGTGGCAGGGAAAGGCTGGAAAGTGTTGTCTCCATCCAGGTGCCTGTGACAAGAAGGGACACTGTGTTGGTGACCCAGCCCACACTGGTCAGGGAAGGCTGGAGCAGTGGGAAAGGAGCCCCTTGGGATGACACAGCACTCCCTGTCCACCCTGGGGAGCGGGACACGCACAGCCCGGCCTGTCACACCCACCCCTCGCCGGGAAGGGGCACGAGGGCCCCAAATCCCGGGCAGGGCCTCACCTGGAACTTCCTGAAGATGAGGTCGGGGTTGAAGTACAGCTGGAAGGGGGTGATGAACTCCAGCTGCTGTGGGAGACAGGCAGAGCAGCTGCCATCACCCGCCGCCCTCAGCCAGCCCCCGGCTTCCCCCACAAACCCTCCACGCCCTGCCCCCCGGCGGGGTCCCCGCTCACCACGGCGGCGGTGGTGAGCACGCAGGCGGTGGTGTACGCGCGGGTCACGGCGGGCATGCCCAGGTACTCCTGCGCGAATCCCTGGTACGCCATGGCCGCGCCGCTCCAGCGCGGGGACGCGGCGCCTTTAACGCCCCCCCCGCCCCCGCCCCCCGCGGGGCGCGTCCGGCCAATCCCCGCGCGACAGGCTGCGCGGCACGGCCAATGGGAGCGCGCCTCATGGCCCCGGCCCGCGCGCGCCGCCAACCGCGAGCGGACCCGCCGCGGACGGAACGGGCCGGGGGAGGAGGGACCCGCCTGAGGGACGGGCTCGCCTGAGGGACCGGCCCCGTGTGCCGCCCCCGAGAGCCCCGTGTGTCGCCCCCGTGGGTGGGGCGCGCCCCTGTGCACCGCCCCCCACGACGATGGCTGCGGCGGCCGAGTGACGGCGGGGGCGAGAAAGGCGGGTCGGGGGAGTCCTGAGGGCGGGCCGTCAGCGGCAGAGAAGGGAGAAGCATCGGGACCTGGGTGGGCTCGTGGGGCTGCGCGGTCGGGGCAGTGCCCGGGCTGGGCCGCCGGCTCCCGGCACAGGGACCTGCCCGGCGGTGCCTTCTCCCAGTTCCTACTCCGGCTCGGCTCCGGCCCCCGCGGCGGCCCCCCGAGAGCCCGGGGCTGCCAGCGTGTTGTTCCCGCACACCCGGGTGTTTGGAGGGAGAGGGACCCGCTGCGGCAGCCGGGCCGGGAGAAGGGGCGGCGGTGCCGGCTGCTTCGCTCATCAGGAGAGTCCTGTCATCACTAAGACACAAAGGGGTTTGGGTTGTCAGTAATTCCTGCCAAAACCTCTCCTGCTTCCTGCAGGAAGCAGTGAGGCGCTTCTCCGAGATCGCCCCGGCCTCTCAAGGTCGCACAAGGTCGCTGAGACCACAAGGGACGCGCGGTCCCAGCAGGTGCTCGTGTTTTTCTGTGGAGCGGCAGCAGCACTTGGATTCAGCCCTCAAGAGAGAGCAGAGCGTGTCTGCCGGCTGTAGGACTGTGTCCAACACACGACAGCAACCTGACATCCTCCACTCGTGCTGACTCTGCTTTCCAGAGCTGCCTGCACTGCTCAGGACTCGGGTCTAATGTTACAGCCACCCTGGTTTCAGACGAGGAGTGAGCCTCGTGTTGGGTTTGTGCAGGAGAGGGTTAAGCTGTCATCAGAGCCTTAATGAGCTCTGAGATTTCCGTTTAAACCCTCAGTTTAAATGGGAAATGAAATTATTGGCGGGGGAGGGAGTCTTTGTGTCTTCCACCACCTCCACCCTGACTGCCCTTTGATGAAGAACAAAACCCAGCTGGAAGATGACAGGACATGGGGTTAAAGCAACATATTGGCGGAGAGAGGGAAGAAGACAGAGTCCCGTGGGCGCCTGTGAGACCAGGGACTGGGTTCCTGAACGCCCCAGGCACTGCGGTGCTGAGAGCCCCCTCTATGTCGCTGTGCTGGGGAAAAGGAGAAATTCCTTCAGGTCAGAGCTGTGTTATAGGGATCCTGGGAATGGAGTTGAGCATGGAGGAACATGGAACTTGAACTGCAGCAGTGTCAATAAGCTTGGCTGTGTTGTTACAGGCTTTTGGTGGGAGCTGGGATGGATGTGACAGCTCTGAAGAGGTGAGGAGAGCTGAGCTTTCAGGGAAACTCATTGGGCCAGGAGCTCTGCAAAGGCCTGCCCATATTCATGTGGCTTTTTCAGCCCAAATGCCCTGCTGCTGCAGCTCAGCCCTCCAGCATGCCACAGAACTCCCAGCCCCAGCAGGATGGGCAATGGAGTTGAAGAACTGAGAGTCAATAAATGAATAATGAATTAAATACATGAATAAATATCCTGCTCCTTTGGGTGGGTAATTAGAGGTTTCCTGTCTGTGCTCACTGAGTGGGGATGCCAGACAGAAGCTGAATTCAAGCACTAGAATTCCTGCCCCTTGATTGAATCAAGGCTGGAGATTAATACTGGGAGCTTCTCTGCTGGAAGGCCTTCATCCTGGAGCTCAGTCTCACTAGCTGCCCAGAGATGAGAACCCAGATGAACAATCCCACTTATTTCACTGTGGAGGACTATGTGCAAATCAGACATTGCATAAAATCTAAAAAAAAGGCATCAGTTTCTCAATTTTCTTCTTTTCCCTTGTTTGCCAGCCAAAACTGGAGAACTCTACTTGTCCAGGCTTCTACTTAAGGCCTCTTTTCTAAGGTTTGTGAGGGAAGGGGGAGAAGTGATGAAATGCATTGGGAAGCTCACCAGCTCCCACTGGAAGAGGCCAAACAAATCCCAGTGTCACCCCTGGTTCCCAGGCTGCTTTCTGCCCATGATCTCACTCCTGTCGGAGCTCAGCCAAGCTGACTTCATGCACTACAGTACGCCCAGGGCAGCTTTAGTCTTTATTACAATCTGTGTCACATTTTATGGGTTTTTTGAATTATGTCCTTTCACAAGTTCTCATCAGTCCAGCCACATATTTGAGTTTGCATTACACACCTTTGTAGTGATGCCTTCTATAGAATCATGGAATCTGATAAAAAAACACCCGAAAAAGCAAAGCTATACTCTTTGTCTCAGCTGCAAGAAGGTACTGCCAAAACAGAAACATTGCCCAGGAGTTTCTTTGCTGATTTCCTACTGCCTTGTCCTGTCGTGCTTCCACTGCCCAGGGACCCAAAGCAGATGTAGCACAGGTCTGAGCAGCAGTGACGTACCACTGCTGCCTGTCATCTGCTGGGTTCTCCTTCCTTTTGGAAGCAGTTCAAGTCATGTCAATGTGAAGCATCAGTTTCAAAACCCAAGACACCAGAAACTCAGAGTTTCCACAAAAATATGTCTGATGGCCAGGCTTCAGTCCATTTTGGATGGGCTTTGAAAAAAGGTTTCTGTCTGCGGTTCTTGGAGCTGCCCAGGGAACTAATTAGAAGGATTCCTGACTGTAGTCTCTGCACAAGTCATTCACAGGAAGAACTGAAACGTGATGGTATCAGAGGCAGCTCTTTTCCGGACAGTATTTACCCACTCTGCATCTGCAGGCTTCTAGTGATAGTAACTTGTCATACTGTAAACATTTACAATCCACAAACCAACTCACAAGAAAACATTTCTGGGAAAGAAGAACTAGTATGTTGCACACTCACCACTGTGGTTTCATTTGGACTTCAGTTTAAAAATATATATATTTTCTGAAAGGGAACAGTTTTGCATGTACACAGTGACAGACCGGTATTAGACCCTCCTGTTACCTCTGGGTTTGTTTTCCCAATTTCTGGGGTGACTTTTGGGAACATGCAAGCATTTGCCTGGAGTTGCAGGTAAACTGAACCCTGCAACAGAAACTCAACAGCTTCCTGTCTCGGTTTATACAAACCAAAATAGCAGAGAGTTAGAAAACAAAGAAAAAAGCTATTATCTCTCCCCATGGGTTAAACAGCACATAAACCTCAAAAAGGCACATGAGCAAAGATAAATGGGCTGTTGCAGTGTTCATCTCTTTTGTTTGTTGTAAATTATTGTGTGTAATTCATGTTTCCTGTCCATAAATACCAGAGGAACTTGGAGACATGGAATCCATTCTAATTCAGTAAAGACAAAAACAACTCCTTTTGAGCCCATCTGGAACTTGTTTTTATCATAATTGTTTTGGGCTCAGTAACGAGTTCAAGATCTAACTGCCGTCACTAATTGTTTCAAGAATAAACAGATGCTTTGTTTAAAGGTGGCAGCTCCCATTTTGCCCAGCACAGCACTCTCTGGGGTCACAGGATGAAAGGAGCTGTGCGCCATGTCAGCACAGGCCCTAACGAGCATTGGCGCCCTTGTCGGGTGCTCACCCCTCTGGCAGCTGGAACCAGCCCCCAGCCATGCACGTGGAGTGTCCAGCCAGTGACGTGTGCCCTCTGCTCTTTAACACCACTGGCATTTTGTTTGTAACTTCATCTGATGGCATTTTGCAGTGTGTCATGCTGTGACAAGTCATACCTGCTCTGATGACGCATAGGCACCTCCTCCAGCGGGGCTGTAGGACACTCAACAGAGAGTGTTCATTCCCCAGCCATATAACCCCAAGCCCCTTGCCTGGAGTAATGCTCCCCCCACCTTGCTTAGAGCCCTGCTTATTTTCTTCATTTGAAAACAAAGATACTCCACACAAACCCATGCTGAGACACTCCCCCCCCATGACATGAGACCATGGCAGTTCTGTCCAAGGCCTCACTCATGGTGCTCCCCAGGACATGCCAGGCCCGAGACCCCTGACAGCCCTGATATAGAAGAGGTCATTGCATGACCAGTGCCCTGGCACTAGGAACAGGTTCAGAAAGAGCAGCACTGAGCTCCCCCACAAGGGAGCCATACCAGCCAGGGGGACCTCACTGGAAGGTTATTTCAGCTCTCACACTCAGCCCTCGGTGGCACAGACAGCAGGTGCCAAGAGCTCCAGGTCCACCATGGAATAGTCACTAAGAGTTTCTGCTCCAGTTTAGGCTCCATGAACCTGCTGTGCACAGATAAGCTGTGTAATCAGAACTGCCTGAGGCACTTGAAATATTTACTTTTCCATGTTTAGTGGCCATATATAAATTCTTTCTCCTTCATTGAAGGATTTCTTGTCCCAAATCAGCTGACTCTAGAGTGTCGTGGCTGAAGTCAGGAGAAAGGGAATCATACAGATTTGGATGGATTTTTAAATTTGTTTGTTTGTCAGAAAGAAACTAAAGACAGCACGTAGACCTCAGCCCTCCAAGGACATGTGGTTTGCACAGGGTTTGCTGTAAATCACAGTTTATGTTATTTTTATTTCCTATGGGTTTTAGTTCAAAAATGCAGCTTTGCATCTGGCATATCATGAAAAAGATCTCACTTAAATCTCCTTGAGCAGAGCCTGATCACATATCCAAAAAAAGCACCTCTTCCAAAACAGCTTCTGATCATGAGTTGAAGACATCAAACAAGAAAATGTCTGTCTTTTTGCACAGTTATTTTTTTTACAGTGTTTAATCATTCTTGTTAAATTCTTCTGCCTTGTGATCTGTCCCCTACACCGTAGGTCACCTCCCACAGCTGTCAGTAGGGAATATCTGTCAAGGGCCTTTATTTTGTAACATCTATTTCATAAGCACTGTGGCCAAATCAACAAAAGAACTGAAAAACATTCCCTTGTTTCTTATAAAAAGAGATCTATGTTCAGCTTACAATAGCAGCACATCAACTGAGCATGCTGTCAGCTGCTGAAGAGGAGTCAGAAATTGTATTTGTAGTTTGGTTTCCAGCAAACTTTTTTCAGGGGCAGGAGTATGTGTCCCAGTCCAGGTGCCTCTCAGTAAGCCAGGGGAGAGCTCTAATCAAAAGCTCTATCTGAAGTGAGTGATAAATAAGACACTCTGACACTGCTGCACACATTTTCCTCTCCTCAACGGGAACATTCAGCAACATTTGCTGCCATTTGGCAGAGTCTAAATGCTCTTCTCTTGCACACAGAAACAGAGGTTTAGTTCAGCCAGGCAGTTTGTTCTCTCTGGCCTTCAGGTCACCCAGTTTCACCCAATTGCCTGCATCAGTGTCTGGTACAAAGAAGGAAGGAAAGGAAATAGTTCAGCCACAGCATGACCTACAGCTCACAATACACTGAAACAAGGGTATTTCAATCATTTTTAGTATTTTGGGCTTTCTCAGTTTTCCCTGGGAAGCTCTACTGCTTATCAGGAGGATGAAAACGCAGACTGCTGATCCAGCATATAGAATATACAGCCATTCATTTCATATCCAAAAATTCTAGCTGGCAAGGAAAAGCAGCTAGTTCCCTTGGCTGCATCAGCCCTCGTGTCCTCAGAGGACTCAGATCCCATGTATCCCCTCTGGTTTGGAAAGCATCCCAGTGACTCTGTGTGGTAGCAGAAGCTCTGTCAGCATTGGGTCCCTGCCCTGAGAAACCTCTGTGATGAAGCCCATTTCCTGAAATTCTTACACAGTGTCTTGAACTGACATAAATTGTGGGTTTTTTACAAAGAACACTGGTGAATTGCTGGAACTGAGAATAATGGTGTCACAGTAGGGCACTCATTTCCTACAAAGAAAATCAATTTTAACAACCAAGTTCCATAAACATTGCTGTCACCATAGAACCAGCAAACCTGCTGCATGTTTCTTGAGAAAGCCGCTTGTTTGTGGATCATATTATCTATCTTCTTTGTTCTAAGCGAGTCCTGCAAAAGTCAGGGCAAGCAGACAGAGGTATTTTGTATCTCACAGTGATGGTCCTTGCAGGAAAGTGAGAAGGGTTTAAAGAAATATCCAGGCTAGAGCTTGGGAAACAGCCAACAACCAGCCAGGGAGCAGCTCCAAATCTCTTCTGCAATTTACAGTGTAGTGTTTGTAGGGAGAATTCATCCTGTCGATCTAAGCCTTACAGATGGAAATGGGGCCCCTTTTCTCCTCTTGCACTGTAATTGCAGTTGGCTCAGATGATTCTGGAGTAAAAACACTCTAAAACTTGGGAACCTCTCAGTGCGTGACAGATCAAAGAGCATGTGTTGATGGTCTTTCCTAATGGCAGGATTACCCCTTATTCCTGCAGCCAGATAATTACAGACAGAGCCTGCCATCACATTCTCCAAATAACTACTCTCCCATGTTCATGGCATCGTATTTCACCTTGATTATGACAGGTTTGAGTTAATTGAAAAAGTATTTGAGGGAAGAGGGTGGTAGATCCCCGCAGTACTGCTGGAAACCTGCCGGGTTTATGTGAAGTTATGAACTCTAGAGCCAGGAGTTTGAGTAACTACAGTGCAGTGGATATACCCTGGTGTCAGACCCTGAGACTGGGGATTTCTCATCTACATCAGCTGCAACTCTGAGATTTTGAGAACGAGGACTGAACATCGGGAATGTTGGTTTTTTTAAGATGTGGAAACACAACCAGTGTGAACATTTCTCAATGCCAAAGCACAAGTCATATATAGATGCTGTGTAGGAGGAAAAAAATCTGTTCCTTCACTCCTCATCAAGGCAGCTGTTACTTCCAGCTAGCCAGCTGCACACACAAATCTAGACATAACAACAGAGTAGACAACATTAAGAAACTAGAGCTTTTCTTTTTGAATATGTTACTGTTTTTGGTATGTGCTGCCTAAACTATAGCTTGACTTGTACAGTTGGGTGAAGTTACACCTGTTTCCCAGTGAACAAGTTATTGTTTGGGAAGGTGTTGGAAGTGTTCGTCTAACCCCTGCCACAGTGTTGGAATATTGGATTCAGAGCCTAATACAGCAAATTTTGTACTTCTCCTGCCACTTAGTGGCTGCAGCTGATGCAGCATCACATCCCTACTCATACAATCATGAGAAAATACTTCTGTGATGTGGAACAGATTTATATTTCTGTTCAGGTTTAGTAAAACCTGAGTAGGGACAAAGAGGCATTTTTAAAAAGTTTCACTTATTTTGAATACTTTGAAGTCTGTCAGGGCCCTCACAATTTGCAATCTGCAGGATGAAAGGATGTTAAAATATGATGGTTATTCCTAAAGGCCAGGTATTCTGTGAAGGAGTAGCTTTGATGTTACTGCTGGCAGTGCAATATGCCTCCATCTCCAGTGGGTCCATCTCTAGGATTCATAAGGTTGCACCATTTCTCACTGCCAGGGAGTGCCTTTCTATTTTATAGAGAGCAGCAAGGCTGTCCTTGCTGTTACTGCTGCCTTGCTGTCTTCTGTACACGACAGGATCTAGTGCTGTAAGTGTGGCTGTCTGCTCTGTGCCAGGCTGTGGTGAGGGGACAGGACCACAGCCTTCTGTGCATCACTCACAGCCTTGTCAGCAACACCTGGATTGACTGCATGGCACCAGAACACAGACAGGACTACAGTGAAAGGCCCTGGATAACAAGGATTTGAAAGGTTTGGGCTTCATTTATTCCTGTCGCTGGCAGGACCGAGGTTTGTCTTTCAGATCTTAGATTGTGTTCCAGGGCAAATACAGTCAGAAAAAGAAAAACTTGTAGTTCACTTCTGCTTTGATCACACTTAATCAGACAAGTGATACTGGGCAATTGTGCCAGATGCTCTGAGAGGGAATCTATGCAAACCACGCTGGCCTTCAAGAGGATTGAGATGGCTCTGGATCTTGGAGAATCATTTTCCCAAATTGTCTTTCAACAGTTCTTACTTTTCCCCAGAATGTGCTTTGAACAAAATTAATTGAACTGTCTTGCTAATGAACATGCAGCCCTGTTTTGAGAATGTAAATCAGCTGGCAAAACACCTGCCAAGTCAAGTGTCTTATCCTAACGTAATGGGTGACTAAATACACATTCCTATGCTGGAGATTTAAATAATCCTTTAGAGCACTGCTGAGAGTACCAGAGGCTTTGGCAGACAGAGGAAAACCTACGAAAGAGGATGAACAAGCTGCAGAGACTGGTAAAATATCTATTTTACTATTATTGCTGACAGATTTTTTTTTAATTTGAATTTTTATGAAGCTGTGTAAGGACTATCAGGTTCTCATAGAATTATTTTCCAACTCATCACAGTCCTTGGGATAAAACTGACAGACTAATGGCTCTCCTGGCAGCTGCACACCATCGCTGTGGCTGAGAAAATAGTGCAGAAGCCGGGCATTAAGGAAGGCTTGGGAAGGTCACTCTATAAATACAGCCCAGCTCTGAGCACAGAACTGTTTGGTGGGTCCTGGAGGAAGGAACAAACCATTTTTCTTTAGCTCATGGCCACAAAAGAGCTCTGTGGTACAGGACCTATAGGGGATGTACTCTATAATGAAAGCAGGGAAACGAGCAGGAGGAGTGGTAGAGTCCTAGGCATTGTGAGTTGAAAAGAGAAGTGTGTTATTGTAGGGAGAGGAAATCTCTCTCATCTGGAGAACTAGAATAACTAGGAAGAGCAAAAGTATCAGGAGCACAATCCTTAGCTCAGGTCTCAGTAACAAGACAGGGAAGAGGTGCAGCCATGAAAAGTGCAAAGTGAAACGTAGCCGCTTCTAATGGGGACAGGAGAGAGCTCAGCCTCTTCTTGCTGCAGGGCTGGAACAGTCTGACTTTATTTTTGTCCTGGGAGAATGTCCTGTCTCAAGCTGGTATGGAAGTTATTTACAAGAAAAGACTTTGAGGAAAGGAAAAATCTAAGATTATTTGAATTTGTGGTTTTAGAACTATTGCGAGACTAGACCAAACTTTCCTGTAAAGGGCTCTGTAAGAAGAAAAATCAGCAGGTAGAGCAGAAAGAGCTCCCCAGCGCTGGGTTATCCAAGTTCTCAGGGTCAATGGGGTCATATTCATGTAGCAAAACACAATCTGGCCTGAGGTGCCCTGCAGTGGCTGGCTAACAGCCAAGCCTGAGCATGGGCTCTTCATGTTACACTAGAGCTTTCCCAGTGGGAGGGGTTTTGGAGCAGGGGGCTGGCAAAGGCCATCCTGGCCCTGGGCCACTCAGAACTGGAGGTGTCAGACTAAAGGCCAGGGGCCCCCAGCATGCTCAGAGTGGCCTTGAGGCATGAGACAGTGTTCCCAGTCCAAGGACACCCTCGGGGCACGGCTTGCCTGTCACAGGATTTCATCTACAGATGGGGAAACCAAAGGCACAGGCACAAAACAGCATTCTATTTTAATCTAAAATATGTGTTATTATCATGAAAAGGTAGGAGAAACAGCATACCAATGTATCACAAATGTACTGGAGAAAAATCTCCCAGCTCAAAGTGTGAATTTTGTGGGGTCATTTTATTCTGTGCAAGGAAGCCATCCATTTTCTGTCCCTCTTCTTCAGCTTCAGAACAAGATCCTGATCCTGACAATATGTGCTGCTGGGATTGGAGGCACTTTCCAATACGGTTACAACATCTCCATCATCAATGCTCCAGCTTCAGTAAGTACTGCTGGTCCCAAAGTACACCTGCCCGAGGGCCTCCTCCTAGGACAGACCCTTCCTTAATGACACAGTTGGACTATGGACAGTGATGTGCCATTGCTGGTGCTGAGGGACAGAAGGGAAAGATGTGTTTTTCCCTCTGTATAATTCACATCTGGGGTACAGGACTCTGTTGTCAAGAGCCAACTTTGAGCAGGATGTAGTGTCACAAGAATTTATTCAAAATCTTTGTCTCGACTCTTTTAGCAAATGTAATTCTAAAATTTTCCAACCTGCACCCTTTGAAACTGATTTTTACCCCTATATTCAAAGTTAGACCCATGAAATTAATTTTTAAATTATCCAAGGTAGCAACATACAGATAGGAACCAACTGCAGCTTTTCAACGGCACCAATTTTACACTCTAAACTCTCTGTTAAAAACTCATCTAGAACTGGAAGGGATTGGAGGCATAAACACAGAATAAATAGATATATTAATAAGGGAGACTTTATATTTCTCAGTGTCCTTCATCTCAATGTCGTGGTTATGCTGCCTTGTCCCTCTCCCTCAGTACATCCAGACGTTCATGAACACGACCTGGCTGGAGCGCACGGGTGTTCCCCTGGAGAGCAACGTGATCCTGCTGCTCTGGTCCTTCACTGTCTCTGCATATCCCCTGGGAGGCCTCACTGGGGCTGTGGTTGCTGGTCCCATGGCCATCATGTTGGGAAGGTAAGAGGGTGCTGGAGTTTAATTTGAGCTTTGCAGCTTCCATTACTCCGAGAGGAATTAGGAGCCCTACAGCACAATGCTCACTGCAGTTAAAAATAATCAAAACATGTTTTCTATCACGGACCAGTCTACCTTAAACATTCTGAGTTGGCAGTGAGCATATTCTGATATGACAGTATTTCATATCTCAAAACCCAATGGGGAACATTTTGGTCCCCCAAATCACCTTCTCATCATATTCCAGCCCAGCTGAGGTGCTACAAGGATTTCGGCTCACCTCTGTATCACAGTAGCCACCTACATAATCACCATCATTTTTGTGCCAGTTTTCTGCCATCCTTTCAAATAGGAAACCATAATGGGTCAGACCAGGTATTTGTCTTCAAAATAAACTGTGGGGATTGGTAGGAATGACACTGGAAAAACAGAGGGTGGTTGTGCATCCCAGGTTCTCCTGTCTCACAGGTCACCTTTTTGTCTGAAATATTTTAGGAAGTATTCATTAAATTCCCACAGTTGGGGTTTTTTTTCTCTGCTCTGGAGTCTCTAAAAAGTATCTGTCCTACCTCACCTATCTTTCATACACAGCTCTGTCTCTAGTTCTCTTCAGAAAAAAAAAACACTTAGTGTTGCTAACATAAACTAATAGGTAGTCAGATTTTCCTTCCCTCTCTCTTGATCCCAAAATTTTCCTCTATGTGCTATAACTTTGCTTTGTTACTCTGGTATGATGAAGCAGGCACCACTGTGAAGGACTGTTTCCCATGGCTTACTTATTTCATGGTTATGAATTTCTGGAAAGGATACAGCTTTTTTATCCAATTAAAATTTTAGAGACTTCACCCTGTACTGCTTTGGAATAAAATCATATCCCATCATAAATAAGATTAAAAAAGACTGACTGGCAAGGCAGTGAGCTGGGACTAGAGAGAATTATTGGCTGTTTTGGGTCAGTAGAGCTCTCTTTTTTTTTTCCTGGTTTTCAACAGAAATTTCTCCTGGGACACATGAAAGCTTTCTGTCAAAGCTTCACAACACTCATACTATTACATGAAAAATGCCTGTTTCAACAAATTAGCATTTTCAGACCACAATGCACACAGCTTACTGAAGGAATATTTCTCTCCATTCAAGTGGAAACTGCGTGTGAGCAGGAGAGCCCTGAATTTGGGCACCCTCATGGTGCCCTCAGTGTGCCCAAAGGCAGCGCTGCAGGGACACCTTGTGGTACAGACACCCCGTGTAGGGCTTCGGGTAATCAGGTGTTCTGTGGTGGAGCTGAGCCCACCTTGAGCTCCCAGGCGTGGCAGGTGGGATCTGCAACGTGGGATGTTTTATTTGATAACTAAACCTGAAACACCAGTGCTCACAACTGTCTTTTCTCTCGGAAGGAAGATGTCCCTGCTGCTCAACAATGTCTTTGTGATCATAGCTGCAGCCCTGTCAGGATTCAGCCGAATGGCAAAATCCTTTGAAATGATTATGCTCAGCAGATTTTTTACTGGCATGAATGCAGGTATGGCAACACGAGAAACATAGCAGGATAAAGGGGATAACAGGTAACAATTAGAAATAGAAGATATTCAAATAGGGATGATGCAAGATACGAAACCAATTAATCCTCCAGGCTGACCAGACACACGTAAGTGAATTAAGAAGTTGTATATACAGATTTTGTATTTTGCTTCTGAGGCCTTTTTTTGAAAAAACATGCATAGGCAGAGGTTTTGTGTATTACATGTATCTGTGTGCACAGGGAGAATCTGAGCTTAAAATTGATCCCTATCTGCTTGTAAGAATATCAGTGCCTCACCAGCATGAGCGCCAACATTAAAGCTCTTGTAGAAGTTTATCCAAGGAAATAATGATTGATATAAGTGTCTTAAAGTATGATCAAAATGGGGAAGTAGAGGGAAGCCTTGCTTACCACCTTGAATTTGGTGCTGGAAAGACCATAGGGGGAGGCCCTGACAGGTTTCAGTTTCATTATCCACTAGTACTGATGAGTCCGGAAATGGGTGTTTAGCAGCCTATGCAAAGAATAGCCTTGCAATTGAAGGTTTGGGGAAATAATGAGCACTGGCAGATGGCAGAAAAGTGCAGCTGGCAACCTCCAGAGGTGGCTGACTGCATTTATCCTTGTCTCCTCCTCCACCCACGAGCTGAGGTCACTGTTGGTCTGCCTTGCCCAGGTGTGAGCATGAACATTCAGCCCATGTATTTGGCGGAAAGTGCCCCAAAGAAGCTCAGAGGAGCTGTGGCCTTGACCTCTGCATCGTTTACAGCCCTGGGGTTGGTGCTGGGACAGGTGGTTGGACTCAGGTAATGTAAAGCAAAAAGCCCACTTATTAAATCTTTCTTTTTTTTTTCTCTTTACTACCCCTTTCTTTCAATGCCCTCGTGCAGCAGAGGGTGCTGGGCTTTTGCCAGGTTGTTAAATGTACTGTGTAAATTTAGTTTGTTTGGTTTATGTTTTTCTCTAGGGAGCTTCTAGGCAGGGAGGAGAGCTGGCCATTCCTTTTAGCAAGCAATGTGGTACCTGCCCTGATCCAGCTCACAGCTCTGCCTTGGTTCCCTGAAAGTCCCAGATACCTCTTGATTGACCGTGGAGACAAAGAATCCTGCATCTCTGGTGAGTTTAGGATGGCTCAGCTCCTAACTGAGCATTTGAAATCTACCGACTGGGCAGATTGCATATCCTTAACATGCATGATTATATATGTTGTAAACATCACTTCCTCCTTCCAAACTAAAGAACATCCTATAATCTTAAATATATTTGACCTATTGAAGTAATTGAAAGACATCTTCCTACAAAAGACATTTTTCCTATGATAGGAGGGTCAAAAGGTGAGACTTGTATTCACAGTGGCAAATAAGTTTTGTAACTATGAAGAGAAATAAATGCTAGTTGAAGAGCTCGGGATCAAATCTGAAGCCAATTCATATTAAAGGATTTGCTTAGATTTGTGGCATACAAATCCTCATATGAGGAGTGGCTGGAATTACTTTCTGGGAAATATGTGCTGTGTACCAAGAACATCTTAATTGCCTGCAATTCCCAGGGAAGTCACTTGAGATCTGAGTCAGAAGCACAGCTGCTGAAATGGCACTGGTGGGTTATCAAACAATGTGGAGGGATTTGCACTCCCTTTCCCCCAAATCTTTCAAGTGGCTGCACCACAACTGGCCATCTCTGTGAAGGTAACAGCATGATCACAGACTCTGCAGAATGACAAACCAAATGTAAGGCTCGGGGGTAAGAGGTTCCCTTGTCCTTGCAGCACTGCAGAAGCTCAGAGGCACCAGTGACCTGAGTGCAGAGCTGGAAGAGATGCTGGCTGAACAGGCTGCTGTTAAAGGTCAGAGAGCAAAGAACCCGTGGGAGCTCTTCCAAAATCCATCTCTGAGGTGGCAGCTGGTGAGCATCGTTGTGCTGAGCAGTGCCATGCAGCTCTGCGGGAACGACTCGGTAAGAGCCTGGCACAGGAGCTACAGCAGCGCTGTGTCATGGGATGGGGGTGAGAGCTCTTGGGTTTAACATCCTGTCTGCTGGAACAGAACAAACAGTGGTTTTCCTGCCTGTGGAGACCTCAGATGTTTGTTCCCAAAGTACACCTGTGCATTATGGAAAGATTCAGAAAGGTGCTGTCAAAATCGCCTGTGTGACAGCACGTTAGTCACTCTCTGTGTGGTCCTTCAGGAAGAACAATGGGATGTATTTTCAGACGTCTTCTCTTACTGCTTTCTCCTCTCTTCTCTCCACAGATGTATTTTTATGCAGCTTATGTGTTCCAAGAGGCTGGAATTCCTCAGGACAAAATCCCATATGTTGTAATCGGTACAGGAAGCTGTGAACTGATCACGTCTGTCACCTGTGTGAGACTCTTAATGCACTCTGCTGACACGCAACCTCTGTTGACAGTGTGGAGGCTGTTAATAGCTAATTTTGGATTTACATGTCTTTTCATGCCAAAAAAGCCCTCTAAGCACAGCAGCCAGGCCATTTTTGAGCACCCACAGCCAGACAGGTTAACACAGAATTATTTGGTCTGACATTGCATTGTCATCACTGTCTAAAATCTCTAAAAAGTGTAACTTTCATGCTTTGTGTCCATATGGATAGTGGCGGAGTTTAGGCTGCAGCTGGGGCATTCTCTTCTCTCCTCAACACCCTTCTTGCCTGATTCCTGCCACCAGACCTTTCCTTTGAAATTTCTTTTTTTTTTTTTTGCTAGGAAGCAGACAACATCCTTAAAGTAGCTGTAGAGTGAACTAGGCTCGGAGTATTGAAACGGGAAGAGGGAGCAGGCAGGAACTATAAACACAGGTCAAATATCTTTCTTTATTTCGCTGTGTTACTTTGTGCAGAACATGATTATAGACTATGCTGGTCGGAGGCCGCTGCTGCTGGGGGGCTACATCTTCATGGCAGGATGGGCCATTGTCTTCATGGTCGCTCTGAGCCAGCAGGTAGCAAACTTTACTTAATTTTTTAAGTGGAATGGAGTTGGGCTTTGCCTTTTATATGACTGGGGTGTTCAGTGGTGGCAAATAAGTGTTAAGTGCCCTCACTGGTTTTCCATTGGTCTCTGTGGCTATAGACTCAGATTAGCTGGATGCCTTATCTCAGCATGGCCTGCATTTTCGCCTATATCCTGAGCTTTGGAATCGGACCAGGTCAGTTCCCTCAGTGTTTTCACTGAAATTTTTGGGTACTGCAGGGGCTTGGAGATGTGTGCAAGCAGCTTATGGAAACTCTCAGATCCTCTTTAGCCACAGCACTCTCAAAGGAATGAGGCAGTTTCTGCCAGCAGTGTTCAGCTGTTTCTCAGGGGCTTGCATTGCACGCCCCTGGAAGTCAGGGTTGGGCAGGGTCATTCTGTGCTCTCCTCTGTGCTGTTCCTCCTCACAGCCGTGTTGGCTGTAAGGCCAAGGCACCTGGGGGTGATTCTTGTGTTAAACAGATGGCAAGGTTTTGATTTGCTGCTCAGTCCATTATGGGGCTGCAAACCAGCATTTCTGATGCTTCACTTTAACCCAAGAGATTGGTGGTAACATAATTTGATTATTTACTTGCAGATATCTGGAAGGAAAATTTCCACATCTATTTGTTATCCTACTAACATGCATTTCCTTGTCAGAATCCATTAGTTTCTGTGGTTGTGGGGGCAATACACAGACTGTCTGTGTGTGGATATTTGGTTGGTGTGGGAGTAGATGTGAAGCTCTGTTTGCTTACACAAGTTTGAAGGAAGGCAGGTAAGAATAGAATCAAGCTGCCAGTGTCACAAACCACACAAGTTGGCAACAATTTCTTGTCCTACAGTGCCATGGGGCTGAATTAATTATAAGCCTTTCTCACGGTTTGGTCCTGGTAAGAATAATGTGGATTACAAAACTTTTCCTGGCAGTTCATTCTAACATGAGAAGTTTGAATAATTAGCCAGGCCTTAATATTTAACCTAAAAATTCCCCTCTGCAGTTAATCTCTATTACCACTTCTTCTGGCATTGTTGACTAGTGAGAATAATTTGCTGAATAATAATTTACTGTTCTCTTAAACTTCAAGGTGTGTTTTCTTGTTAAGACGTGTTCTCTTGTTTTTAATGTCATGTCAACAATATTATTAACTTTCTTGCCATTTCTTTTCCCAGCTGGTGTAACAGGAGTTCTGCCCACAGAGGTTTTTGATCAGATGTCCCGGCCAGCTGCTTACATGATCTGTGGCTCCCTGCTCTGGTTCAACCTATTTCTGGTTGGAACAGCCTTTCCATTCATCGTGGTGCGTTCCAAAGGCAAAGCAATCACCTGCAGCTCTTTAGTGCTCTGTACAAGAAAGAAGCTCTGGTAGTGACCAGGAAAAGAGAATATTGCAAGCAGCAGGATAGCACTGCTATGAAAGTATCTTTATGAGAAAAGTGACCAGAACTCCTCTAAACCAAACTTTCTCCATGTTCCCTATGGTGAATTCTGATTTGAGGTTGGGAGAAGATTAATTTGGGGCATGGATGACCGATATTCCTCCTCTGTCCTCAGCTGCGAACAGCTGGGACTAAAAATGTGATGCAATTTCCTTTGGCCAGACCCTGGCAACATTTCCTAAAGTGATTTCTGAAGCGAAAGGGAGTAGAATATACGTTCCTGTCTTATTTCCTACTGAGGGTTCCTATTCTATATAATTATATAGAGAGAAAAAGAGAGAAAAAGACATTTTGAAATACTGTTCTTGCTATCTCAAATCTCCCAACCTCTGCTGGGGAGCTATTGTCTCCAGGCATGTGAGACCCTCACCAGAGTGCAGAGAAATATCCCCTTGGCTGACCTTAGTCCATGCAAGAACAGGGATTAGTGGCCTATTTGTCACCACACAGAATGTCACCAACACTGTCTTGTTTTTTTCCTCCTCCTCAGAAAAGTCTAGCACATTTCTGCTACATCCCATTCCTTGTGGTCTGTGTCTGCACTGCACTCTACGTTGGATTTTTCCTCCCTGAGACAAAGGGAAAGTCCTTCCTAGAAATCTCGGAGGAGTTCAAGAAACGGAACTTCAGAACTAAGACCCGTGCGGGTTTTTATAAAGGCCCTGAAGAGATCAAAACCACCACACTGTAGCAGAAGAAAGGAAGATGGAACCTGGGGGAGTGGAGCAGTTAATTCAGCAGTGGTTGTGTTCCCTCGCAGGGACACTAAGAGAAAAGTAGGGTTAGGGACAATACATTACTCTTAGGTCCTTAAGTTCACCTTGAAAACACATGCTTGAACTGATAAATACAAACAGAAGTTTGATAATCTGTTCTCAGTTTTTAGTACTGAGTAACACTTGCATATTTTAGAATCCAGTGACAGAATGATGCCTTGTTCTCTTATCATCAAACAACACCATGTAATGCTTGAGCAAATTTCCTCAGAATTTCTCCTCTACCCAAACAGTAACTTCCATCTCAGAAGTTTCTTTCCTTGCCCCTGAATCTGGGCTCTCTAACACAGAAATTAATGCGATTAAATTCTGTTTTCAGACATCAGATGAAATTTTCAGTACCTTGTCTTGGTGCTCCCGTTGTTTCTGTTATTAAGTGATTTCAAATAGACCCCTACTTGTTGAGCAATAGTGAGCAGTTAATTATTTTCAGCTATAAAAGCATGTGACAGATGGATTATGAAGAAAGCTTCTAGTACTTGCTAAGTGGCTTATTATACAACAGACTTTTGGGCATTGTTTTGCAGAATATTTATTCTGGACTGGTTTTCTTCATGGCTTGTTTGTTGTCTTCCAGTCCTATATTGTAAAGCACAAGTTCCCCAGTCCAGTTTGTACTGCTCTCACAGACACTGCTGGTGCACCTTGTAGGGTTTTGTGCCTGTGCTCTGCTAATGGTAAGTGTGTGAGGAGCTCGTATGCAGCAGCTTATTTGGGGTGTGGAGATTTAGATCACACCTGGACATTCTCTGCAGCATGTTCTTGTTGTCTCCACAAAGCACACTGGAAAAGACCCAGATGTGATAGTGATTGCTTTTAGTTAACCTGGTACAGAAGAGGGCAACACTCCTCAGTTAATAAGGCCTTTCACTTTGTTCATATGAAAGTCACAGCACTGCTGATGGTTGCAGCAAAGAACAGACACATTTTCAAAAGAAGTTGCTAAAGTTTCTCTCAGTGTATTTTTTAACTACATTTTTTGGGAAATACAGAACTTTTGAATGACAAGACTGTAAACATTTCCAGAGTGTATTACTGTCATTACTGGGCATGTGTGGAGCAGCAGATCTATTTCTCAGAGGTGGAGTCTGTGCAAGAACTCTCTTTCACTACCTGAAGTTTATAACATACAAAAAATAAAGAGTAAACTTTTGTTCCTTTGTGGTTGCTGCTATTTTAGAAGTCATTAATATACAGACATGGGCAAGAGCAGGTATCTCTGCTCTTGGAGAACACTGAGGTTTTGATGTGGGATTTTGAGAGAAGAGCAGCACTCCCTGGGGCTGGGAACTGAAGAGATACTTTCCTGTAGTTTGAACAGAGCAGTGAGGGGCAGATGGAAAGGGTAAAACACACAGTCAAAGCAAAAAGTGACAGTACCGTTCTGGGGGTGGCAAAATACTCTGTCATTCCTTTGGTGAGGACCAGAGGAAGGAGAGAGGACAGAATTGAAGCAGAGAAGACAAGGCAATATTGAGGATGCAAGATAGGGTGCAGGGATGGACTGAAGAGACTCCCTGGGCAGAGGGAGAGGCCTGGCACACACTGCTGGGACATATAGGTCAGAGAAGAGAGAAGACCTCCAGTATCCAGAGGTCCTCACCTTGGCCACCTCTGTGGCTACTCCCATGAGTCAGCACCGTGCTTTTCCCCAGAGCCCTGGCAGGCCAGAGACCATCTGCACCTGTCAATATGAAAGATGCCTGTTCAGAAATTATACACATTTAATTGACTTCCTGAGTTTCAGAGCCAGTCCTGTGAGTACATGTGGCAGAAAACACTAATTCAAACTTTCTGAAATCAGGAGTCTTTAGACTGATTAAGCAAATGCAAACAGTGGTTACATTTCAGTTGGTCTAATTTGTTAAATTTTAATTGAAGCATTTAACAAGTTGATTAATTGATACTGAATTCAAACACCTCTGACTGAAAAGATATATGACACTTGTTCAGATTTTCTTATCATGTGAAGTGTTAAACAAAAAGACGTTGAAAAGTGATCCTCAGAGACTCATTATGGTTCATATTACTGTTTGCAAATCAAGTAATCATGCACTGTTGGATTTATTAATAACCATCAACACCAGAGAAAAATAGTTACTGCTGCTGTCCTCAAACACTGCTCTTCTTCACAAGCCACCTCTCACTTCAAACCCAGTCAGGGCTGGGATTCTTCCAGGCACCAAAAACATGCAGCATCCTGGCCTGTGGAATTGCCAAGTGCATCCTCTCACCAGAAGATGGAATTCCCCCCTAAGCTCTTTGAATAACTTGTAAAAGCCTTCTAACAGAACCAGCTCGGAGACTGCTAGATAAAGAGGCCTTTTGAGAATTATGGATAAAAGTAAAAATGTAATTTATTTATTTTGAAGTCAGGATTTAAAATTGAGATTCAACTTTCTTAGCACCTGACATATATTATAGGGACACAGACTTGAACTTTCAGGCAATGACCTTTACTCTTAGAGTCAACTGATCCCACAGTTCAAGAGTTGGGTGCACAGGCAGAGTCAGGTTTGGCCAAGTCAGGCTTCAGAAGGCTTTGCTGTATTGAGGCTCAAGGTAGCAGTCAGGAACTTTTCCTTTAAATGTGATAACTGATTACCCAGCCTATGACTTGGGGAGTCCAGACCAGTCCAGTCCAGTTTGTGCCAGTCCCTGGACTTTGGCTTCCAACAGTGCTTTTTTTGTTGTCCTTTACTCATCTCCTGCAGCTCTTCCCATCCGTCAGCTGCTGCCAGAGCGTGCCCAGAGACCTGGCAGGAACGCGCAGCTCACCAAAGCTGCCCGCAGCTTCATCAGTAACCAACACAATAATGACAAACCAAACAGCAAGAACTTCACAACAAACCAAAGGGAATGTGAACACTGAGAAAGAATGAAGTGACATGTTGAAATATTATCTCAGGCTCCTCTTTCTCTATATATAGAGTGACTTTTTTCGAAGTAACTAATGAAAGTGTCAGGGAAGACCTAGCCTGCAAGCAGGAATGACTACCTTTGCATGCAAGTTGGTATATGTTTATCTTTTTTTTCCCCAAATACAATTTTTGCAGTACATAATTTTTTTCCTTTCTGCTGTTTAGAAGACCTGTTGCATAAATTCAGTACAGAAAGAAAAATAAATCTCAATCAGATGCAGCTAAAATAATTGTAATGAGGTCATATCTGAAAAATATCAAATATGCTAGAAATTACTTTTAAAAAGCGAAGAAAACTGGATTTAAGAGTAAATTTATATGTAATGTCTGATGCATAACAGGGGAAGACTAACCCAAGGAGTTCAGAGCACACCAACAAAATAAAGCTAATGATTTGATAGATGGAGAAAGGCTGGAAGATTGAAAAGGTCCTCCACAATAAAAAAGTTATGAACAAAGTATCTGAAAGGTATAAACACCAAAGGATAGAAAACAATTCTTTCCAATCAAGGAAGTATAGGAAGAGATAACTAGAAAAGAAAAAAAATTTTTTTTAAAGCAATTCTAGTATGAATATTAAGTTTAAAAAATCTTCCCAAATTTAAAATCAATTAGACTGGAAAGTCATCCAAGAGATGCAACAGAAAAATGAAGCAATGGCGTTACAGTACAGAGTGGAGATGAGACTAAGAAATTTGCTGCAGGGGTGATATAAACTTTGCACTTAGAACAGGGTTGACAGATTTTCTCAGTGATGGGAAGTTTCATGCTGATGTGTGGCATTTTTGGTAGCACAAAGGATGGTAGGGATATATAGCAGCAGAAACTGTGAATCTCATTTCTTCCTAGTGTTTCAACAAACAGGAGATTGTTGTCATTTAATATATGATTGTGCCAAATACCAAATTTATTCAGAGCTGACACCTTTGGAGTCAACATGGAGAAATTTGATGCCCACTCAAGCAATGGCATTCACCTGAGTAGAAATTAGCTTGTAAATATTTGGCAGGGGTTGTTTGAATGTGATCTGTTCTAGAGACAGAGGTGCAGCATCACACCATCATCACTGGCCAGAATATCCCTAGGACAGTCAGGAACAGGAGGAGTGGGAGGGATTGAGGTGTGCATACATTGCAGTCCTATATTCTTAAGCTTCCTGTCACCTAAGAAAGGGTGAATAAACCATGAAACTAGGAATGCCCTTCAATCCCCAAATGTTTATCCAGTCTCAGCCAAGTTACAGAGCAAAATATTCACTTAGGTGAGATAACAAGTGGGAAAGGAGGAGAGGACAGGACAAATAGATGGAATTGTTCACGGCACGCTTGCACATTGCACCATGCTCCCACAACTATGACAGTGCAGATTGAGATGGCCAAAGCTGAAGACAGAAGCACTGAAGTGTGTAACTGGGTTCTAGGGAACAGCTGTGAGCTTTGTCTCTCCTCAGATTCCTCACTGTCCTGTGCTTTAGTAGCTGTGGTTTCCCAGTGCCGGCTCCTTGCTCTCGGAGGAGGCAGGTGCGTGGCATTGCTCAAACTGTTAGAGCTCCTGAGGAAAACACAGGACATTGGGGGCACGTCTGAATAGCTGTACCAGCTTTGTTTGCTGCTTTTATTTCCTGCCAGAAAATGAGCTACAACCTCTTTCTGGTGCCTTTTGTCCTGGGCATTGGTGGAGGTTTCCAGTATGGGTTGCAGGTCTCCATTATCAATTCTCCTGCTGAGGTAAGCGTGGAGAGCTCCAAGAGTGAGCTACTAGCATGGATTTCACTGTTCTCAGTGCCTCTATATGCAATCACTAACTTTTTAAATTCTGCTCTCAAACCTAGACTTACTGTGGTTTCTTAGTTCTAAGAGTAGCTACTATTGCTCTTGTGTTTCATGGGGTTTTAACTTCTAACTAATGTGGCAGACCTGGGAAAGGGGAGGATGAATGATATCTATAAAGTCATCCATTTTCTCCTTGCTGAGTTGAATTGCTTATAGGGCATTCTCCTCTTTTCAGTGCTCAGGGGGCCTCTTGTACATGTGCTTGGCCACACACATTGTGTCTAAGTGACTGTAAGGTGCAATAGGACAGGGCAGGACTGTAGCTCTAGAGCTGAGTTCAGCACTGAATACCTGCAGCTGGAAAAGGAAAATTAGGGAAGATGTTTGTAATCCTAAATGGTACCAAGGACATTGAGCTCATACTCTTACTACATTGTGAACCCTCACCAAGAATGAGGGTGCCATGGAGGTTATGAATAGCAGGCCAGAGAGACCTCACAACAGACCATATCAAGGGACAAAACCTGCTCTCACTTGAGTCAGTTGAAGTCAAACCTGGATTTCACTTAGGGCATCAGATGCAGCAGGTGGACAAGAGAGACAGACACACAAGCAGGAATGGAGGGAAAGATCAGGTAGCAAAACCATCAGGTTTTAGTACAGAAACAGAAGACCAACCTACCATGCAAAATTGCCATTGATTTCATCAGGGCTAAGATTTCAACGAAGGTATCCATAGGAATGTATCAAAAAGGCCTGTAGGAGAATTAAGAAAGAGATGCAATTATGCAAAAAGCATGTTGACTGAGTCCTTGGATTTCTGCTTTTCTTTTCAAGTACATCAAGAGTTTCATCCGTGAGACCTGGCTGAAGAGATACGGCTCCACTCCCAGTGAGGACATGATCACTCTGATGTGGTCCTTCATTGTGTCCATTTACAGCATCGGGGGGCTCCTGGGCTCCTCCTCTACCGGATACTTGGCTGTTAGATTTGGAAGGTAGGAATAGTGATTACATTAGTCCTTCTATTTACACCCACAACTGCAAAAATAAGTGACCATGTCTTGGGAGAAACACTGCTTGTAAAGTAGCACTGTGAGCAGCCCAGGGCTGCTTCCAATGAAGGATCAGTACAAAATCACACTCTCTCTCTTATGAAGTCCAAAGTGAATCCAGGCCGGGGAAATCACACTAGGAGCGCATGCATTTTAAAGTGAATATCACAGGCAATCACTCACAAAGCTTGTTCTTCAGTGTAGATATTGGCTCCATTAGATGGTTCAAAAGCTTGAACTAACTTATCAATCTGTGACAGTTTTCCCATTCCCGTTTCCCATTTACTTCACTGCAGCCGATCTCAGAAGCTGGCACAGAGTCTGTAACCACGGTACAATTCGTGTCACTTCTGTCAGGTGTGAATGACACATGGACAATATTTATGCTCACATTAATTTAAGTGA